GTCTTAGAATTAGTCAAAGAATACGTGTGAATTTTTTCAGATTTTTTCAAACAAATTTTTTTAGTTATAAACAATAAATTTGTTAATAACTTTCAAAATACCAATTTTAAAGCTTGGTAACCAAGCTAAATCGATTCAGCACACCAAAAAACCTATAAAAAGCTTTGGTTACCTGAAAATGCATTCTCGACCCATAGCTGGCGCCCGGACAATAAAGAAGCAAGTTCAGTGTATGAAAAAGTGTTGGGTGCACTTGCTGCACCGCACGAATTTTGATCTACGGTCGAGAAAGTCGCGGCGATTCGGTTGCGATCACTAACTTGCCAGCCAACGATCTCGCGCGCGCGTGCGGTGTTGCAGGATTTGAACGCAGCTCCGCGCATAGGTATAAGTACGTACGGCGCGCTGCAAGCTCGCGCCGCTGCTGCAGTCTGCAATCGACACGATCGCGCCTCATTACATATCATTAGTGATAAAAAACATGATTATAATACAGATATTATAAAAAAAAATGGTCTACAATGGAACTTATCTAACCATAATGTACAATATTTCGAGAGTTATCTAAAGTCTTCATATTTTCCATAAAACTCATGACTCGGAAAAGGGGGCATAAATGTGAACTTAGCACAATGCTATAAAATGTTGTACCGATACTCTTGCCAAAAAGTGTTACTTATGGCACTTGTATCGTAAAGTACTACTTTGTCCAAATTTTTTCGCGCATTTGTCACAAGCAAAATCTCTTCGACCCTGGTGAATTGTCTTTTGGTGCACAAGCAAATGTGATTTGTATCCAAATTTCTTGTCGCATTTGTCACATGCGAAATCTCTGCGACCTTCGTGTGCTATTCTTTGGTGCTTTATTGATGTTCTGAAGAAGTGTGCGCGATCCTGGTGCTGTAACTTAATCGGTACGCTCTGAATGTTACGACAAGTGAACTGCACTTTGTAAAAACGTAAAACGCCCGAAAACGCAAAAGAAGAAAAAATTTAACACGCAAAGTATACGAAAATGGTTCACGGAAAAAGCTGTATCTCACAGAATGATCAAAATNACCTCCCTGTGGTCTTCGGAAAGTTCCGACAATTTGTTCGAGCGCGCTACCTCGACGTAGTTCTCATATTTTAGTTGTTTTTCCGCCTCTTCCGGTCTTAATCGGATAAGGTCGTGAAGCGACAGACTAGGATTAACCATTATCTCTTTCGATCTGCTCACAAATTCTTCGTCGTTATACCAATATTCTTTAAGATCCACTGAATTTTCAAACAATCCGTACTCGGCGAACAAACCCATGATATCGAGGGTGTTGTGGCGGTCAAATTCGTATCCTCTTTTCTCGAGACGTTCAACAAGGACCACAATTTTTGACGCTAATGATAATTTAAATCCAAGCCATTCACGTTCGTCCATCTCACTTATCGATCCGAATCTCTCGACGAAAAAGCTCTTGCTGGGAAAAACGAAGTTGGACAGATCGGCGCCCCGGTCCAGGAGTACATCGACCGCATTCAGAAACAGATTCGCTACGGCCCATTGCAAAGGCGTCCGGCCGTTCTTGTCTTGGACATCGACCTGCACCGGCCGATCGACCTTTTTGCTGGCGTCAAAGAATAGCTTGAGCAATTCATCGTCGTCGTAACGATCCTTGCTGACGACGTGCAAAGGTGAGAATCCATTCTCGTCTGCCAAGTTGGGGTCGGCGCCTAATTTCAGCAGATACTTGACCACTTGACCGTTTCCTCTGGCCAGGGCCAGGTGTAGCGGCGTTCGGCCCAACTTGTCCCGGGCGTCGACTTCGACCGGCTTATTTTCTTCGTTGCTGATCTCGATCAACATCTTCACGCGGTCCTCGTCATCGGCGTACTTGCAAACTGTGTGCAGAGGAGTCGAGCCCTCCCAATCGACTAAATTCGTAGCGGCTCCCTTTCTGAGAAGCAATTCTGCCACCGCCCTGAGCTCTTCTTTGACCAGCGCATGGTGCAGTGGTGTAAAGTCGCACACGCCCCGAACATCGATCTGTACCTGTCGATTCTTTTCCTCGCTGATTTCAAACAACATCTTCGCCCAGCCGTTGTCGTCGTCGACCATGCAAATTGCGTGCAGAGCTGTCGAACCATCGTTATCGGCAATATTCGGATCGAAGCCTCTTCTCAGCAGTAATTCAAACAGCTTCTTGTGTCTGTGACTTATAGCATGATGGAGAGGCGTTTTGCCTTCGTTGTCGCGTGCATCGACCTCGACCGGCCGCCTTTGCTCGTCGCTGATCTCGAAAAACGTCTTCAACAAGTCAGCGCAGTCCATCTTTCCCGCGCTAATCAAGTGCAACGGTGTCGATCCTTTCGCGTTGGCTAAATTTATATCCGCTCCTCTTCTCAGCAGCCATTCGGCTATTTGTTCGTGGCCGCGATTCGAAGCCAAGTGCAACGGTGTGCAGTCGGATTTGTCCCGGGCGTCGACCTTGATCGGCTTATTGAATTTGTCACCCATCTCGAATAACATCTTCACCAAGTCGACATCGTCGTCTTCTCTCTGACATATAACATGCAGAGGAGTATGACCCTCTGCATTGGCCAAGTTTGGATCGGCGTGTCTTTCCAACAGCAATTCGTTCAT